CTCCGCGGTGCGCGCGGACGGGGGCGCGGGGCAAGGGGCGCAGCCTTACTGGGGCAAATCAGAAATCGCTGAGATCCGGCGGTTCTGGAGGATGCATCGGGCACGGCTGACGTTCTGGAACGCTATGAGAGTGCTCCGGAACGCTCTTGGACGAGTTATCCCAGCCCTGGCTCGGCTAGAACCCGGCACCAGAAAACAAAAAGCGCCAGATCCTTGCGACCCCGCTCTGTACTCCTCGCTCTGCTGCCCAAATGCGAGTCGGCACTTGCAGCGGGCCTGAGGTGGTTGTTGGCTCAGGGTCCAAATATTCAGCTCATCTCAGTTCAACTCCCTCCTCCTCTGCCTCCTTCGTTCTCGCGTCCGGCCCAGCCCCAGAGGAAGGGATGGAGCTCGGGCGCTCGAAAAACTGGTACGCAGAGCCTGTGGCCATCGCGCACGAATTTGTCCAGATTGGTCTGGACAGGTGGCACTGCAAAAGATACCTTCGGGCGCTCCAAGGACCCATTCCTGGCGAGTATCTTCGGCCGCATAGATAACCCATCCCCGTCTGACGACTAGACCTGTCAGTAGGTCGGGTCGGGCGTTTCGCCTGAGACTTCCTCTCCGCTTATGATCCCGGAGCTTGAGATAGTTGACTGCTACACGGATTGAGAGGGATTCAGATCATAGTTCTCGCCTTAGCGCCGCGCACATTCGTCTTAACAGCTTCCACTGGCTACATCGAAAATAATTATTCAAAATGCTGCTCTCGTTCCGCGCACATTTCCCTGAAAAGCATCCGACAGGTACGTGGATGGAGGGGGGATGCGTGCAGATAATGATTCTCGCCTTAGCGCCAAGCACATTCGTCTGTCAGCTTCCAAAATTTACAAGTAAGGTGAGGGGTCGATCTCAACATGTGACTCCCGCCTGAGCGCTGCGCACACTCGTTCCAAAAACTTCAGCCAGTGCACTGATGGAGGGCGGTGTATTTTCAAACTGGCGATTTCGTTTGATATTTCCTGATGCACACTGAGACACCAAAACGGTGCAACACCTACACGGATGGAAAGCGGCGCCTCTTCGAAGCGGGGCTCTCGCCGGAGAATGTGTTACACTCCTCGGCAGTGAATGAAAACGTGGACTGCATCTGCCCTGATTGAGGGCTACTCCTTTTTTCCCCACATCCTAAGTGGGGTTCTTGTTTTCTCTGGACACCCTCCGCGCAGGATCTCCTCACCCCCCTCTCTCTCTCTCTTTCTCTCTCTTTCTCTTTCTCTCTCGGGCCGTCATCATCATCAGTCATCATCATCATCATCATCATCATCATCATCATCATCATCATCATCATCATCGTCATCATCAGCATCATCATCATCATCATCAGCATCAGCATCATCATCATCATCATCATCATCATCATCATCATCCTGATCATCACTACCATCATCGCCCCCGCACCCCTCACTCACCATCATCATCATCGCTATCACCACCCATCGTGAGTACTCATCATCATCCTCGTCATCGTCACCATCATCATAATCATCACACTCATTCACACTCACACCGTTATAATCCTCCTCATCAACAACATTATCATAATTCGACAAATCATCATCATTACCATCCTCATCCTCATCAACACCGTCATCATCATTCTGTCACTCACCATCATCACCATCCTCATCATCACCACCACCACTCATCATCATCAGCATCATCCTCATCACCACTCGCTCACTCATCACTTCGTCATCACTCACTCCCTAATGTGAATATGGAGGACGCCAAGAGCGGCAGTTCGATTTGTGAATGAATTGTGAGAAAGTCTCAGGCGGGACCCCCTTCCATATGGGTCCCGCACTTCATGTTGGTAATCCGAGCGGGTCATCCTCAAACCTGTAACTGTCGTCACTTTTGGGCTCCTGAGGCCTGACTTTGGGGGAGGCGCCAAGCGGGAGCCTCGTCTGTGAGTGAATTCTGAGGAAGTCTCCGGCGGGAGCCCCCTCTCCCTATAGGGGCCGCACCTCATGTTGGCAATCCGAGCGGGTCATCCAAAACGTGTAACTGTCGTCACTTTTGGGCTCCTGAAGCCTGAATATGAAGGGAGTACCAAGCGGGAGCCTCGTCTGTGAGTGAATTGCGAGGAAGTCTCAGGCGGGAGCCCCCTCTCCCTATGGGGGCCGCGCCTCACGTTGGCAATCCAAGCTGGTCATCCAAAACGTGTAATTGTCGTCACTTCTGTGCTCCTGAAGCCTGAATATGGAGGAAGTATCAGGCGGAATCCACGTCTGTAAGTGAATTGCGAGGAAGTCTCAGGCGGGAGCATCTTCCCTGTGGGCCCGGCACTTCACGTTGGTAATCCCAGCGGGTCATCCAAAACGTGTAACTGTCGTCACTTGTGGGCTCCTGAAGCTTGAATATGATGGAAATATAAAACAGGAGCCGTGTCCGTGAGTGAATTCCTGGGAAGTGTCAGGCGGGAGCCCCCTCCCTATGGGGCCCGCACTTCACGTTGGCAATCCGAGCGGGTCATCGGATTCTTGTAACTGTCGTCACTTTTGGGTTTTTCAGGCCTGACTGTGGAGGAAGTATCAAGCGGGAGCCTCTTCTTATGGGTCCCGCACTTCATGTTGGTAATCCGAGCGGGTCATCCGAGCGAGCTTTTTGGGCTCTTCGGCTCCTGCGGCACGAATACGAGGGAGGGGTCAGGCGGGAAGTTCGTCTGTGAGCGGAGTGCGGGTAGCCTCGTCTGAGCTGATCGTCAGCAATTTTGCTGTTGTCATGGGCCTCCGCACCCGACAACACCACGACGACGACGACGACGACGACGACGACGACGACGACGGGGCAGCGGCCGGGCGCAGGGGTAGCCCCTTGTGTCCGGGCCGGGGCTGGTAACCCATCCTGGGCCGATTGTCTCTGGGCCGCCGGTGGTAACCCATCGGCGGCCGAATCGGGCGCAGGGGTAGCCCCTTGCGTCCGGGCTGGGGGTGGTAACCCATCCTCGGCCGAATCGGGGGCAGGGGTAGCCCCTTGTCTCCGGGCGGGCGGTGGTAACCCATCGTCAGCCGAATCGGGCGCAGGGGGGAACCCTTGCGTCCGGGCCGGGGGTGGCAACCCATCCTCGGCCGAATCGGGGGCAGGGGGAGACCCTTGTCTCTGTGCGGGCGGCGGCAGCCCCATCGTCAGCCGAATCGGGCGCAGGGGGGAACCCTTGCGTCCGGGCCACGGGTGGTAACCCATCCTCGGCCGAATCGGGGGCAGGGGTGACCCCTTGTCTCCGGGCCGCCGGTGGTAACCCATCGGCGGCCGAATCGGGCGCAGGGGTAGCCCCTTGCGTCCGGGCAGGGGGTGGTAACCCATCCGATGACGATGATGATGTTGACGATGTTGCTGATGATAATGATGGTGATGATGATGATGATGATGCTGATGATGATGCTGATGGTGATGATGATGATGAGAAGGAGGAGGGGGATGATGATGATGATGATGATGATGATGATGATGCTGATGATGATGATGATGATGATGATGCTCGGCGTCTGGGCGTGCCCCTCGTTTTTGTTGCAGGCCGTGGACGGGTGCGGCACGATTCAGGGCGATCCCGACGCGGGTCGGCGCCTCCTGAACATCCCGAACATAATACGGTGGACATCCACGGCGTATTGCCGGCCCACGTCGGCATGAAGGTGCGATTCACGGCCGTGCAGGAAGAGCTGAAGAAGAAGTTGGGGCTCGTGCAAGAGCAACGGGCCACCATCGTTTCCTTCGAGTTTCAGTTAGACGGCGAGCAAAAATACGAGGAGCGCGCGCTGGGCCAGCTCTTTCGCCCCCGCTGCCTACCGCAGGCAACTTGGCTGCAGGTGCACGGCTTCCAGGAGTCCCCGATATACCAGGAGGTCGCCGAGGTGCTGCTGCAGAACGCCGAGGGCGTTGACGACGACGGCGAGGCCAGGGCGCGGGCGAGGAGCTTGCTCATGTTCAGGCCAAGCGAGCAGCAGCTCACGTGGCAGAGCTCGGGGACGCACACTGTGCGCCGCTCGGGGTTCACCTTGACGCACGCGTCCTACTTAACCTCGACGCTGTCGCAAGGCCAGACGCTGCGCAAGGGCGTCATCATCGACTGCGCCAGGGATGAGGACGCTGGCCGCACGGGCATGTCGGACGAGCAGTGGTGGCTGCACCTCTACGTCATGTTCTCCCGCGCCACGTGCATGCGGAACATGCTGATCCTGCGGCCGCCCGCGCGAGAGTTCCTGGAGCGCGGGCCGCCCGCGTCCCTGCGGAAGGCGCTCCAGGAGTTCGACAAGAGAGCGGTGGACTCCAGGGCTGACGCGGAGCAGCTTGCGGCAGAGCTGGGTTTCGTGCTGCCCCCCGCCTGAACGCCGCGGCGCGCACCTGGAGGCCCGCGGGGTTGTCCCAACGGTCTGGCCCGCGGGGTTGTCCCGACGGCCTGCCCTCGCGCCCCGGCGGCCCGCGGGATTGCCCCAAAGGCACGGCTGGCCCGAAGGGCTGTCCCGACGGTTTCGCGGTCTAGCCGTCGGCAAACGCGCGCGTGCTGGCCGAGGCGGCGACGGCGCCGAGGAAAATCGACTTGCTTCCCCCGACCAGGGGGAAGGGGAGGTGCACATGGAGAAGAGGCAGGAGGAGGATGAGGAGGGAAAGGGTAGGGGGAGGGCGATGATGAGGAGGAGGTGGAGAAGGAGGAGGAAGAGGAGGAGAAGGAAGGGGAGGGGGAGAAATAGAAGAAGGAAGAAAAGAGGGCTGAGGAGAGGGCGAGAGGAGGGTGTTTGCCATGGCCGGGAGGAAAGGGATAAGGGCCAGCTAAACATATTATCATGCGGGGTCCTTCCGTCGGAGTAATGTTTAAGCGGGCCTATCGCTGAACACGTCCTTGAACTTATGGCTCCACTCCTTCGCCGCCCTTTTCGCTGGAAGCCAGTGCGGCAGCTCCCTTCCATAGCGGGGCGTTCGTCCGAGTTGCAGGACCATGGGGCGCCGGTCCTTCGAGG